TCTCGCTTCTCCACAGTCCTCCCGTGTCCGGCGGCTCCCTCTGGCACCCTGTCTGGTCTCTACCTCCCCTCGTTCTCTACGAACCTGGTGAGTGGTGCTGACCTACAGGATGCGGGTGTACACCAGTTCACTCCTGCACGTCAGCGGGTGACGCACTGTACAGAGGCTCGCACAGGCCGACACCTGGCTACGTTTACCCGTCAGCCGGGGTCGAGCCTGTACACACTGACCACTGCGTCTCCTCCCGTTACTGAGTCTGGTAGAGTCGCTTCGTCGGGTCAGGTGTTTGCTGCTGCGTCCAGGTCTGGTCCTGAGTCTGCCCCCTGTTCTTGTCGTCTCCTGTCTCACGAGACTCTTCTCTGGCACCACCGTCTTGGTCACCCCTCTCTGCTTCGGCTCAGAGGCATGGCCTCCCGTCTTCTAGTGTCTGGTCTCCCCCGGTCCCTCCCTCCCCTTCCTCAGGGCCCTGGCCCTACCTGTGTCCCCTGTGTCGAGGGGCGCCAGCGTGCTGCCCCTCACTCCTCCCAGTTTCCTCCGACAGAGGCCCCGTTGCAGACGCTCCACATGGACGTGTGGGGCCCAGCCCGCGTCCGTGGGCAGGGTCACGAGCGCTACTTCCTGCTCGTTGTTGACGACTACTCGCGTTACACCGCAGTCTTCCCCTTGCGCGGCAAGGGTGATGTCACTGAGGTGCTGATCGACTGGATCCGCGCAGCTCGTCTCCAGCTCAGGCAGAGCTTTGGCTCCGACTTTCCTGTTCTGCGTCTGCACTCGGACAGAGGCGGAGAGTTCTCCTCTGGCCTTCTGCGAGCCTACTGTCGTGCACGAGGCATCCGTCAGACCTTCACGCTCCCGGACTCTCCGCAGCAAAATGGGATTGCTGAGCGCCGCATTGGCATGGTCATGGACGTCGCTCGTACGTCTATGATGCATGCGGCTGCCCCCCATTTTCTGTGGCCGTTTGCGGTGAGGTACGCGGCACGTCAGATCAACCTTCACCCCAGGGTCTCCAGGCCGGAGACCTCCCCAGCCTTGCTGTGGACCGGGAAGGTGGGCGATGCGTCGGCGTTCCGGGTCTGGGGATCTCGGGCGTTTGTCCGCGACTTGTCTGCGGACAAACTGTCCCCTCGTGCTGCTCCTTGCGTCTTCCTGGGGTTCCCCCCAGACGCGCCTGGGTGGCAGTTCTACCACCCCACCTCTCGCCGTGTTCTGTCCTCTCAGGACGTCACGTTCGACGAGTCGGTACCCTACTACCGCCTCTTCCCCTACCGCACTCCGTCCCCCCCCCCGCCCCCGCTCTTCCTTGTACCAGGTCCCCCCCCGGTAGACCCCCTCCCCCCTCAGGGTCCTGCCCCTTCAGGTGTGTCCCAGGTAGACGCAGTCGAGCCTGTCGAGGTCACTGGTGACTCTGGTGCTGCTGGGGGTGCTGAGCCTGGGGGTGCTGGGCCTGGGGGTGCTGGGCCTGGGGGTGCTGAGCCTGGGGGTGCTGAGTCTGGGGGTGCTGAGTCTGGGGGTGCTGAGCCTGGGGGTGCTGAGCCTGGGGGTGCTGAGCCTGGGGGTGCTGAGCCTGGGGGTGCTGAGTGTGGGGGTGCTACGCCTGGGGGTGCTTTGCCTGGGGGTGCTGGACCTGGGAGTGCTGCGCCTGGAGGTCCTCCGCCTCGAGTTTCTACGCGTGCTTTGTCTCGCCGGGAGCCACTCTCTCCACAGGAGCTGCGCGAGTGGTTTGCCCGGCGCTGGAGCCGTGCTGCTGGTGCTGGAGGTTCGTCGGCTACTGAGGGTGCTGCTGTTGCGGGTCCCGGAGGTGCTCGTACTGGGAGTACTGGAGCTGCTGGGCCTGCGGGTTCGACTGGAGCTGGTGCTGCTGAGGGTGTTGGCGCTGAGACTACCACTGGCGGTCCTGCTGGGGGTGCTCCTGGTGTTGCTCGAGGTTCTGGTGCTACTGGAGGTGCTGCTGGAGCGGGTGCTCCTGCTGGGGGTACTGGTGCTGTCCCTGCTGTTTCTGGCGTAGCTACGCGGCCTCGACCGTACTTCGTTCCACTCCTGCAGCAGGTTCTTGGTCTTCCGCCCTCTCCTGGTCCTCCTCCTCTCTTGGAGGGTCCACAGCCTGTCCCGTCGCGGTCACTGCTACAGCCTACCTCCCCTTTGCCTGCTCCTTCTCCCTACACTGGTCCTACTGGAGGTCTTACTGAGCGTCGTGAGCCTGCGTCTCGCCCTGCGTCGCCTGTCCGTGCTGCTCGCGCTAGTGGTCGTGGTTCGCGTCAGCGTCCTCCTCCTGTCCCTGGCACGCACAGGATGTCTCTGCGTCCGTCTACTGCTCCTCTGCGTGCCCCTTTGCCTTCTCCTCCTGAGTCCTCTCTTCCTGCTCTTCCCGACCCTGCGTCGGACTCTCTTCGTGCTGCCAGTCCTACTGTCACGCGTCTCCTTGCTACTGTCGTCACTGACCCTTCCTTCGAGTCTACTGCTGCGTCTGCCCTAGTTACTGAGCTCGTCGACTTTGCTGCTCGCTGTCGCCTAGACTACGCTGCTAGTCTTGTCGCTGAGTCTGGGTCTGCCTGTCCTCCGTCAGTCGGGGGTGAGTGTGCCCTTGGCACGGACGTCCTTGAGGACAGGCAGGAGGAGTTCCAGTGTCTGGCAGCTGCTTCACCTCATCTCGTGTCCGTACTGCTTACCCCTGAGGGAGACCCGGATGCACTTGACATCCCGACTCCGCGCTCTTATGCGGAGGCGATAGAGGGTCCCTACTCCTCTCAGTGGCAGGCAGCTATGGATGCAGAGATGGCTTCCTGGAAGTCCACAGGCACCTACGTTGACGCTGTCCCCCCTCTTGGGGCGAACATCGTCAGTGGCATGTGGATCTTCAGGGTGAAGCGGCCGCCGGGTTCTCCGCCTGTCTTCAAGGCACGTTACGTGGCTCGTGGCTTCAGTCAGCGACAGGGAGTTGACTACTTTCAGACCTTCTCCCCCACCCCGAAGATGACCACTCTTCGGGTGCTGCTACACGTTGCTGCTCACCGTGACTACGAGCTGCACTCTCTCGACTTCAGCACTGCTTTCTTGCAGGGCAGCCTGCACGAGGAGATCTGGCTGCGCCGCCCACTTGGCTTCACTGGGTCTTTCCCTCCTGGTACCCAGTGGAGTCTCCGGCGTCCAGTCTACGGTCTCCGCCAGGCGCCACGTGAGTGGCACGACACACTGAGGACTACGCTTGCGGCTCTTGGGTTTGCTCCTTCTACTGCCGACCCGTCGCTGTTTCTACGCACCGACACCTCTCTGCCGCCGTTCTACATCCTCGTGTACGTCGACGACTTGGTCTTTGCCACAGCTGACACTGCTGGACTCGCCCACGTGAAGTCCGAGCTGCAGAAGAGACACACGTGCACAGACCTGGGTGAACTGCGCAGCTACCTTGGCTTGCAGATCAACCGGGACAGAGCACGCCGCACCATTACCCTGACTCAGTCACACATGGTGCAGCAGGTCCTTCAGCGCTTCGGCTTCACGTACTCCTCGCCTCAGGCCACTCCTCTGCCTACTCGCCACTCACTCTCAGCTCTGCCTTCGGATGAGTCCGTAGAGTCGAGTGGCCCGTATCCAGAGCTTGTTGGCTGCCTCATGTACCTGATGACCTGCACACGACCTGACCTTGCATACCCTCTTAGCATTCTTGCACGCTATGTTGCTCCTGGGAGACACCGACCAGAGCACATGGCTGCAGCGAAGAGGGTGTTGCGATACTTGTGCAGTACGTCGGGCATGGGACTAGTGCTTGGAGGGCGGAGTCCAGTGGTCCTCACTGGGCACGCGGACGCTTCTTGGGCTGACGACCAGGCTACGCAGCGGTCGTCGCAGGGTTACACCTTCAGTCTTGGTTCCGGCTCTGTCTCGTGGCGAGCTACTCGCTCGTCCTCTGTTCTCGGCTCCAGTTGTGAGGCTGAGATCTACGCCGGGGCCATGGCTGCACAGGAGCTTCGCTGGCTCACCTACCTGCTGACTGACCTTGGAGAGCCGCCTCGTTCTCCTCCAGTGCTGTACTTAGACAACAAGGCCATGCTGGCCTTGTGTCGAGAGCAGCGCTTGGAGCACAGAACGAAGCACATTGCTCTCCGTTACTTTCTTGCTCGTGAGCTGCAGCAGCGTGGTCAGTTGCGACTTGCGTACGTGGCCTCTCAGGCCAACACTGCTGATGTGTTCACCAAGGCACTTGCGCCTTGTGACCATCAGCGCTTCTGCACTCAGCTGGGTCTTGTACCTGTCTTGCCTCACTTGCTCTCCTCTTGACCTTACTTGTACTGTCACATATATATACCTGCTCTTGCTTGTCTAGCTCTATATATATATATGTGTACTCCTGCATGTGAACTGGCCTTGTGGCCTTGTCGTTGTGCTCGGACTGTGTGGTGACGTTGTGATCCACCCTGAGCTTGCTCTGCTTTGCTTGACTGGTCTTGTGACCCCTTGTTCTCCCCCACTTTGCCTATGGGGGTGTGTCAGAACATATATAGCTTATGCTGTTGTGTAGGCTATAGTGGGGTATCCCATAGGGGGTACAACCCAATTAGGGTTTTCTATATGTACTCACCTCATTCATAGTTCATTCATCCTCGTTCTTCATTCTTCTCAAGTTGGCAGGGAAAGAGGGTATTGGGGGAGAGATGGAGATAGGGTGGGGGATGGGGAGTAGCGAGAGAACGCGCAGTGGGGTGAAGTTTGGTGGTTGTTGTTGTTGTTGTTTTGTTTTGTTTTGTTTGTTTTGTTTTGTTTTGTTTTGTTTTGTTTTGTTTTTTTTTCCTTCTTTCTGTTGGCCTGGCGCTGGAATGACCTTGGCTCAGAATATGAAAGGATATTTTTTGTTATTCTCAAAAATCTTTCACGTGTCCACTCACAAAAGAGACTCGGGTATCCCTGACAGCCGGGTGTCAGAACATAAGGCCCTGAGTAAAACCATAATACTTTCTTCTGAGGCGCCTGAAAAAACCTTTCGCGATATCCCTCACAACCCAATGCGGGGCGCTAAGGCAGCGGTTGCAGCTGCTGTTGCTGCAGATGCAATGCTGTCAGATGTCTTTCTCCCTCCTCTACCACAGCCCCCATGCTTCTGCTTATCTAGACCTCTTAACGCTGCTTTTCATGTCGCTCCCCCTTCCCCTCGCTTCCCTCCCTCCCTCCCTCCCTCTCTCTTTCCCTCACCTTCCTCCTTACCTCCCTCTCTCCCATGCTCCATGGTTGTCTCTCACCCTCCTCCGTCCCTCTCATCTCCCTGCCTCCTCCCCTCTCCCCCGCTCTTTCGCCAACAGGACGAGGCTGTGGTGTCGCTTGCGGCCCAGTGCCGGGCGGCAAAGCGCTCCTTGCAGCGGCTGCTGCAGCAGGAGGCAGTGCTGCCAGATGATTCGCTGCTGTTTGACGGGCTCTCTGCTGTTGATGACGTGGATGCCGCCCTTGCCAGGCTGGCAGCCATGCGGGATGAGGTGAAGGGGGCTCAGGGGAAGAAGCAGCACAGACGGGGGAGGGGAGGGGGGAAGGGGAGGGGGAGGAGTGGGGGGGAGGGTGCTGGGGAGAGTGGGGAAGGGACAGGGGGGGTTGCGGAGTGGGTGATGGGGTGTGGAGGAGAGGGGGTTGGTGGTGGGAGTGGAGGGGGGGGGAATGTAGGGACCATAGAGGAGGGTGAAGATGAAGGGTATGAGAGTGGAGAGGAGGAAGAGGAGGGGGAGGCATTGGAGAGAGGGAGACGCCATTCTTTGGAAGGAGATGGAGAGGGTAGGGCGAGTAGTGGGGACAGAGAGGACAGGGGAACACAGGAGGAGGAGGGAAACCAGGAGGAGGGAAACACAGTCAAGGCAGGAGAAGTGAAGGATGGGGATAGCTCCTTTGGAGGAGAGGGGGGTGTGGTGGAAGGTGGAGGTGGGATTGGAGCAGAAGCTGGAGCAGAGGCAGTGGAGGGGAGGGTGGCTGATAAGATTCGTGCTGGTGGAGTGGCGATAGGTGATTCTGCTGCTTCTCCTGCTGTTGAGGGTGGGGTGGCAGGGCAGACAGAAGGGAACAGCGAGGTGTATTTCTAAAACAGGAAGGGATGTGTGCCTGAATTTGTGTATTTCTAAAACAGGGTTACTGTCAGATTTATATGACATAGCTACTGTAGGCTATAGTGGGGTAGCACATATGGGGTACAGTTTTCTAGGGTTTGCTTTTGTACCCAACTTTCCTTTAGTCATTCCCATTCCTCGTTTCTTCTCATGGTATCGAGCAGGTTCCCTAGTGGGAACACTTCCTAGGGCCCACCACGAATTTTTTTTTTTTTCCTGCCCGGAGCGCGCTTCGCTCCTGCCCGAGTCGCGCCCTGTGTGCCCTCCCCACCGTCGCGCCCTCTCACGGCCCCTCACGGCCCCTTTGCGTCGCCCTTAGCGGCCCCTCTCACGGCCCCTTGCGCCGCCCTTACGGCCCCTCGCGCCGCCCTTACGGCCCCTTACGGCCCCTCGCGCCGCCCGTCGGCCCCTCGCGCCGTCCCTTACGGCCCTTCGCGCGGCCCCTTACGCCCCTTACGGCCCCTCCCGCGGCCCCTCACGGCCCCCCTACGGCCCGTCGCCGCCCTCCGCGGCCCCTCGCGCCGCCCTATCACGGCCCGTCGCCGCCCTCCGCGGCCCCTCGCGCCGCCCTATCACGGCCCGTCGCCGCCCTCCGCGGCCCCTTGCGCCGCCCTTCACGGCCCCTTCGCCGCCCTTCGCAGCCTCTCGCGGCCCTGTCGCCGCCCCCCCCCCTCCGGCCCGCCGTCGCCGCCCCTGCCGCAGCAGCCGCCGCAGTCCCTACAGCAGCGGCCGCCGCCGTCCCTGCAGCAGCAGCCGCAGCCGTCGCCAGCAGCAGCCGCCACCACCTCCCTCGGGGCCGCAGCTGCTGCCGCCGCTGACTGCACCCGCCGGTGCGCCTCGGCCCTACCGGCGCCGCTCCACCCGGCCCCGCCGCCGCTCCCCGCGCGGCCCCGCCGTCACCACCGAGCCGCCGGCGCCGCCGAGCTGCTGCCGAGCTGCCCGATCCACCCGAGCCGCCCGAGCCGCCGCGCCACCTGAGCCGCCCGTGCTGCCGAGCCGCCGTACCGCCGAGCCGCCCGAGCCGCCCGAGCCGCCGAGTCGCCGAGCCGCTGTTGCTGCCGAGCCGCCGTACCGCCGAGCCGCCCGAGCCGCCCGAGCCGCCGAGTTGCCGAGCCGCTGAGCCGCCGAGCCACCCGAGCCGCCCTGTCTGGTAAGAGCAGCGCCTCTGTCACTGCACTGCCCTTACCCTACTGTTCGCGCTGCTAGTCTACTGCTGTCATGGCTACCCCTAGTGTCCTCGCTTTTGACGCTGAGGGTCGGGCCATTGACTGACGTCTGGGTAGATGACCTGCAGCTTTTCCTACAGTGCGATAGGGCAGACGGTCTCTCCCTCTTTGACCTCACCTCTGGTGCCTCTCCTGCCCCTGCTGCTGATGCCGACGCCACTGTTCGCTCACAGTGGGCCACTCGCGATGCTGCTGCACGTCTTGCTGTGCGTCGCCACCTGCCTACCTCTGAGCGTGCGCACTTTAGCCAGTACAAGAGTGCTCAGACCTTGTACGACGCTGTAGTTGCGCGCTACTCCTCCCCTGCCACTGCTGCACTGAGCCGCCTCATGCTACCGTACCTCTTCCCTGACCTTGCTGCCTTTCCCACAGTCGCTGACCTCATTACGCACCTCCGCACTAGTGACACTCGCTACCGCGCTGCGCTTCCTGCTGAGTTCTGCGCCAAGAACCCCCCCCCCATGTACATCACCCTCTACTACATAGTCACCCGGCTCCCTGACTCCCTTCGCGTAGTCAGGGACCACTTCCTCTCAGTTTGCCCCACCACTCTCACCGTTGACCTCCTCGAGAAGGCCCTCCTAGCAGCAGAAAAGAGCATAGTAGCTGTAGGAGCCTCTCGTGGTGACCCTCGCACCCCCATCTTTGAGGGGTGTTCCCCCTCCCCCCTTTTGCCCTCTGTTGCCTCTGCTGCTGCGGCCGACCTCGTTGGGCTTGAGTCGGTCGGTGCGGCGTCTACCCCTAGCGGGAGACGCCGCCCTGGCAAGGGCAAGGGGGGCAGGGGCACTGGAGGAGCTAGCGGGGGCGGTGGAGGCGGCGGTGGAGGCGGTGGAGGGGGTGGGGGTGGCGGTGGGGGTGGTGGCGGGGGTGGAGGTGTCGGTGGCGGCAGTGGAGGCGGAGGCGGCGGCGGCGGTGGCGGTGGGAGCGGAGGTGGCGGCGGTGGAGGAGGCGGCGGCGGAGGAGGTGGAGCTGGTCGGGGTGGCGCTGCGCAGAGGGTCGGCTCCGGTGGTGGTCAGCGCCAGCAGCAGCAGCAGCAGCAGCGCACTCGTGACATCCCCCCCCCTCAGCAGCTCCGTGAGTGGTACGCTGCACGCCAGCGGGGTGGGGGTACTGGTCCGTGCACCTACGTCCTACGCACCGGAGACCGCGCGGGTGAGTAGTGCTGGGGTGCGCACTCCACCCAGCGCTGCTTTGGCCGCCTGACGGACGCTTGGCGTCACCAGTTCCCTGAGGCCACTGAGATCCCCCGCTAGGGTGAGCTGTCTAGGGCGGGTGTAGCTGTCTTTGACCTTGACTTTGATGCTATTCTTGCTGCCATGTATACTGTGACTATTAGTGATGAGGGTGACTGTTACCGGTGTTTTCCGCCCGACCCGGGCATTGAGTCTGCTGCTCTAGGTACTGGTGAGGCTGCTGCTCTAGGTGCTAGCGAGGCTGCTGCTCTAGGTACTCGTGCGTCTGCTCCCTCAGGTGCTGGTGAGTCTGCTCTCTCAGGTTCTGCGTCGGCTTCGGCCTCCCACACCTTCACCCTTGACTCGGGGGCTTCTCGCTCCTTCTTTCGAGACCGCACCACACTCACGCCGCTTGGCCGGCCAGTTGCAGTCTCTCTGGCAGACCCCTCTGGGGGTCCTGTCCTTGCTCACTTCTCCACTGTCCTCCCGTGTCCGGCGGCCCCCTCTGGCACCCTGTCTGGTCTTTACCTCCCCTCGTTCTCTACGAACTTGGTAAGTGGTGCTGACCTACAGGATGCGGGGGTTCACCAGTTCACTCCTGCGAGTCAGCGGGTGACCCACTGCACAGACGCTCGGACAGGCCGACACCTGGCCACGTTTACACGTCGGCCGGGGTCGAGCCTGTACACACTGACCACTGCGTCTCCTCCAGTCACTGCGTCTGGTCAGGTAGCTGCGTCGGGTCAGGTGTTTGCTGCAGCGTCCAGGTCTGGTCCTGAGTCTGCCCCCTGTTTGTGTCGCCTTCTGTCTCACGAGACTCTCCTCTGGCACCACCGCCTTGGTCACCCCTCCCTGCTTCGTCTCCGAGGCATGGCCTCCCGTGTCCTTGTCTCTGGTCTTCCCCGGTCCCTCCCTCCCCTTCCTCCGGGGCCTGGCCCTACCTGCGTCCCCTGTGTCGAGGGGCGGCAGCGGGCTGCCCCTCACTCCTCCCAGTTTCCTCCGACAGAGGCCCCGCTGCAGACGCTTCACATGGACGTGTGGGGCCCGGCCCGCGTCCGTGGACAGGGTCACGAGCGCTACTTCCTGCTGGTGGTTGACGACTACTCGCGTTACACCACAGTCTTCCCCTTGCGCAGCAAGGGTGATGTCACTGAGGTGTTGATCGACTGGATCCGCGCAGCTCGTCTCCAGCTCAGGCAGAGCTTCGGCTCGGACTTTCCTGTTCTGCGTCTGCACTCTGACAGAGGTGGAGAGTTCTCCTCTGGCCTTCTGCGAGCCTACTGTCGTGCACGAGGCATCCGCCAGACCTTCACGCTTCCGGACTCTCCACAGCAAAATGGGATTGCTGAGCGCCGCATTGGCATGGTCATGGACGTCGCCCGTACGTCCATGATGCATGCGGCTGCCCCCCATTTTCTGTGGCCGTTTGCGGTTCGGTACGCGGCGCATCAGATCAACCTTCACCCCAGGGTCTCCATGCCGGAGACCTCCCCAGCTTTGCTGTGGACGGGGAAAGTTGGCGATGCGTCTGCGTTCCGTGTCTGGGGATCTCGGGCGTTTGTCCGCGACTTGTCTGCGGACAAGCTGTCCCCTCGTGCTGCTCCTTGCGTCTTCCTTGGCTTCCACCCTGACGCGCCAGGGTGGCAGTTCTACCACCCCACCTCTCGCCGTGTTCTGTCCTCCCAGGACGTCACGTTTGACGAGTCGGTCCCCTACTACCGCCTCTTCCCCTACCGCACTCCGTCCCTCCCCCCGCCACCGCTCTTCCTTGTGCCAGGTCCCCCCCCGGTAGACCCCCTCCCCCCTCAGGGTCCTGCCCCTTCAGGTGTGTCCCAGGTAGACGCAGTCGAGCCTGTCGAGGTTACTGGTGACTCTGGTGCTGCTGAGGGTGCTGAGCCTGGGGGTGCTGACTCTGGGGGTGCTGAGCTTGAGGGTGCTACTACTGGGGGTCCTGAGCCTGGGGGTGCTGAGCCTGGGGGTGCTACTACTGGGGGTGCTGAGCCTGGGGGTGCTGAGCTTGGGGGTGCTACGCCTGGAGGTGCTGAGCCTGGGGGTGCGGAGCCTGAGGGAGCTGGGCCTGCTCGTGTGGCGTCTGGCGGTGCTGAGCCTGGAGGTTCTCCGGGTGCTTCGTCTCGGCGGGAGCCACTCTCTCCACAGGAGCTGCGCGAGTGGTTTGCCCGGCGCTGGAGGCGTGCTGCTGGAGCTGGAGGTTCTTCGGCTGCTGAGGGTGCTGGTGCCGCGGGTCCCGGAGGTGCTCGTACTGGGAGTACTGGAGCTGCTGGGCCTGCGGGTACGACTGGAGCTGGAGCTGCTGAGGGTGTTGGCGCTGAGGCTACTGCTGGCGGTCCTACTGGGGGTGCTACTGGTGCTGCTGGAGGTACTGGAGCTGGAGGCGCTGATGGCGCTGGTGCTGCCGCTGGGGGTACTGGTGCTGTCCCTGCTGTGTCTGGAGTCGCCGCGCGGCCTCGGCCATACTTCGTTCCGCTCCTTCAGCAGGTTCTTGGTCTTCCGCCTTCTACTGGTCCTCCTCCTCCCTTAGAGTGTCCACAGCCTGTCCCGTCACAGTTACAGTTACAGC